AGGTTTGGACACTCCATTGTGCCTGAAGGGAGTGCCATAAGTCCCGTGTGAAACCCCTTAGAAAAAACAGAAACTAGAAACTAGGAAATCTTACTAATAGAAGGGGGAACCAGATGTATGGGGTAATAACGTGTGGAGTGGCGTGGGGGAGAATGTTAGAGCTACTCTACATGATAGTGAATGCCAGAACTGGAGATGCAATGTCCATGGAGCTAGTAGAGGGACATGGGTTGGTCATTACCAGCTTAGTCAGTCATTTGTTTATGGCTTGTAGAGTAGCCATGATGGTGGACATCATGGCACTTGCACTTGCCCCAAGCTGCCATTTTGGGGATAGTCCAAGACCTCAGGGAACCGGCAGTAGCGTAACAGGTGATTCTGCTGGAGTACCAGGTCTGACAGAGTTGCAGGGTGTAAACTGAGGTGCTGGGGAGAGACAGACCCTCTCTGTGGCCTGATTCTCGAGACATGCTAGAAAGAAAAATAATGAGTAACAATACTTAATAGTAACCTAGACGAGAAAGCAAACAACATTTCCAGCACTGGCTTGCTAACTAGTACTGAAAGGCGAATACATTAACTACCTCACGGCAGATGAGGCCCTGCTAATTGCCAAGCAGGGTGTATAGTGCGTACCCAAGTGATGACTTGAGTGATTGAACTAACATATCAAGATAAAAAGCAAGTAAGGACCAAGTACCTGTAACAGAAATAATAGCAATGGACTTGGTAACAGCAACCGATGGGAGACTACTAGGGGTCCAACTTGAAATATCTGAAAAAGTGTTGAGATTATTGCTAATTAATCACTTTACTTGTTTTTTTTACTTTGCAAATGGTTTGCAATTTACTGAAATTTGTTGTTTGCTACACATTAAAGTTTTCATGAAATGGTACATTAAGGGCAACAGGGCATCATGGGTGTAGCTATGGGGAAAGGCACTTTTTTTGAGAGCGCTGCATTGAGCTGGCCAATGGTGTGTCACAGGGAGTCTAGGAAGTGGACATCTTAGGGTATCCCCCAAAGTGTGCACTTATTTATCAAGGCAGAGTAGGCAAGGGGGGAGGGGGTGATTGAAGGCAGGTGGGAGCGAGGGTATGCTAATATTCTTCTAGCAGTGAGGATCTGGAAGATTACAGGAGCCACTGGACCTCAGAGAAAAGATCCCCACTGAACTGAATGTGTAAATGTGTAAGTGTGTCTGTCACTGTGTGTTTATCTGTCAGTGTGTGTGTGCCTGTCAGTGAGTATAAAACAAACATAGTGTTTTAATTTATTTCCCTCTACATCGTTTTAACTTTTTGTGGTATTTTTGAGAGCGTCAGCAAACTCTAGGACTGCCCTGGATGCTTAAAGCTCTAGCTACATCAGTGCTGAACATATAACATGTAAAATATCCTGGTCAAAACATGTTCAAACA